CTTTTTTCTTGGTAATTTAAATAATGGCATGTTAAGTCTAGGTTTGAATGATATACGTACAAATGCAAAGTTGTGCTACTCTGTAAAACTTTCTTTTCATATTGGTTATAAGTATCATTGTTCTTAAATTGTATATAGTGTAATTAATTTAGTCAATGAATTTCTAGGAATATTGATTTTGACACTCTCTGACATTCTAATATTTCTTGTCATAACTATACTTGTGTTTTTTTACATTTTAATTGGTGCATCACTTATATTTTTGTCTAAGTTATAACTTAGTTAATGACTTTTAAGGGGAAACATTGATTTTTGTGTATAATGATAATATTTCTTGAGAGAACAGTAATATGTTAGCATTTTTTTGGTTACACATATGTTATTTGCAACTATTCTCACCCCCCAACCTTTATTGAAAGTTGACCTGTGTGTAGTGCCAAAAATTCATTACAAGTTAAGTCATAAACTGTGCCCATGCTATTACACAATTCTTTTGTGTTCTTAGAGAGAAAAAACAAAACCTGGAAAGATGTATGTTGTTTGAATCACACTTTGTTATGTTTATTCAACATTTTATGTAAAGATTCAGAAAGGTAGAATAGTAAAATTTTTAAATTGTTTTCTTAGTATGGCAGAAATATTGTGTCTTGATTTCTGTATAAAGATTTTGAGAGAATTATTTACCCTTAATTATATAAAAATATTATTTTCTGTCTCTGTTTTTTTCATACATTTAGTGGTTAGATGACATTTGCTTGCTCTGTTAAATAAGATTTTAACAACAAATTATTTATTTTCTCAAAGGTGGCGAGACAAGTAATCCAAGTATTTACCTGAAAAAAAAAAGTTTTTGATAAACTTAATAGAAAAATTCCCATCCTTTTTACATGTTGTGCATTAGAAAAGTTAAATGCCTCTTTACTATTATACTGAGTGTATTGTAATTGAGGTCTGAGTATTAATAAGATTAGGTAGTGTTTCATCTGTGTTCTCTATCATGATGATAAATAAACCATCAATGTATAGTTTCTAAATTTAAAAGTCTTGTGTCAAAGTAAAAAAAACTTGCAATTCAATTTCCTCCATAACTGATTCAGCCATTATGATTGAAACTAATGACCCTATGGTTGTGTCAGATTTGTAATGTAATTTCTGATAAGAGAAAGAGATAGAAAATAATAATTGTTTGGCTGTAACTTTCTTTATTTAATACACCATTTAATAGAGCCTCCTTGAAGCTATCTTTTTCCAAATATTTTAGCGGTTCTCACTGCGGTATGGGCAGGCAGAATTGTACTCTGCATTGTGGGGCCATGGGTGCATTATAATAGTGAAGGTCAAATCAATTATTTCATTAGAGAAGCCCAAGTGTTAGTGGAAGGTGCCTTCTGTACAATCTACCTGTTGAAAGTTGGGGATGCTGGTGAAATTAGCCTCTATGAAGCAAATAATCTCCTCAAAGTAGCAGAATGACCATATAAACTGATGCTTAACTATGTATTCCAGAACTTTTTAGGGAGAAAGAAGAAAAAAATTATTCCAAACCCTCTCTCAGATGCTTTGTGCTTCTTGGGTGATCCATTGTTTTCTGGTGGCTGGTGTAGAGAGTATCATCTGTTGGTTCATTATCAATAAGTTTTAATCAAAACAAGCAATCTACTTAGATCAGAACTAAACATTGACCCAGTAAATAATGTAGTTAATTTAATATACCAGTTTAATTTGGCATTTAAATTGTCAAAAAAATAATGATTAGAATGCATTGGTTCATCAGAGTGATATCTTTTATTGTCAGGGAAGTTTGAAATTGACCACATTTATTTACTTTCAAGTTTTGTTTACATGGTAAAGTTTGGGATTTCTTAGTAAGTAGTGGTTTTCTGCTTTACTCTTTTTCATAACTACCCATAATTAGGTGTGTTTCTTGGCTTTTCATTTGGCTAAGTAGAGCTAATTAGATTGTTTATAATGAAATGTGGTTTGACACAATAGGCTGGTGAATTATGATTTTGATGATGGTGTAGAATCAAAATGCATTGGAGAAAGGAGTCAAGACTACATAAAGTCGTACACTGGTGTGAGAGTGTTTGTGGGGACACTGAATATTTTTATGTGTTAGTTGGAACGTGATTTTGAACTAGAAGAAGCATTAGTGATGTGAGTGGTGTACAACTATTTAAAATATTATTACTCCAAAAAGTACGTCTTTTTTTTTTTTTAACAGTTGACATTTTTCTTAACATGCTTTATGTTGTGTAATGTACATGTGATATACTTAGGATTTCTCTGTATGCAAAAATTTTCTGACAAGCTTTTAGTCTTATCGTAGGACAATATCTGGTCATCTGAACACAAAAAATGAGCTTGATGGTACTTGTAAGGTAGGATTGAGAGTTTGTCAATAAAGATTTAAATGAGAAAAAAATCTGTTGTATGTGTATTACTTGTTAATTTTAAAAGCTGATATTTCAAGATTAATATCTGATGTAATTTCTATTGTATGCATAGTTATGCAACTATTAAAAGTTTTCTTTTCCTTCAGTTTCAACAGAATCTGATATAAGTATTTACCACAGTGCTGAAGATTTATGGCTTAAAAGCAATACAGATTTTAATGAACAGAATGCAAAAACTTGTTTCACTGAAACCAGGAAAAATAGCAAACAGTTATTTGGTGGTAGATCTGGTGAAAGGCTGAATGGAATATCAACATCAAGAGAGGCTTTGTGTTCCAGAGATTTGCCTAACAAACATTATGTAGTAAGCTGTTTAACATTTATATTATGCTTAAAATATAGGAACTAGGATGTCATTTCAGGTATATTTTCATTATTTGCCATTAGAATAAAAAAGCTAGTTTTAGAGTTTATTTTATTACTTCAAACAGTTGATGAAATTGGATTATGTTTTTTTCAAAAACTTTCACTAAATTATTTTGAAATTCTCATTTCAGTGAAAAAACAATCAAAGATAAGGACAAATTTGAATATATTTCTTCTAAAAATTAACAACCTTGATGTTATTTTTGGTTGTTATAATGTGATTAAAAGATACATTATACAGTAATTCTTATAACTTGAAAGACAGCACTTCAGTAATGGAAAACTGGGTAAGACACTTGGAAAATATTTGGCCTGTAAAGGCTTTTGACGTAAATTTTAAGATCATATTAAACGTGGTAATAATTTTATAAAATTATATTTCCAAGATAACTTGACATTATTTGTGTTTATATATATATATATAAATATGTTATATTAAACTATATTGAAGCCTTACCATGTTGTTACAGTACCATTTGCCATATATGGTCATGCTCTATCTGATGGCAATATATCTTGACGATAGTCCTGCAGTGCATTTTCCATTGCTAAAGGCTTGTTTTTTTTGGTGTAAAATATATTAAGTATGTATATATATTTTTTAAAAGCTATAATCAAAAATCAACAATTTTGAAATTGTTAAAAAATACAAAGTTTGCATAATTTTGTTATACCATTATGAGCTGTTATTTCAAGACAAATAGTGAAACCTTGTATTTTTACATGTTATTACGCTAAGTACGTATAACAACATTTAAGGAAACTTGTACTATTGAAAACTTTATTGTAACTGTAAAAATATAAAAGTTTAGCAGATTTTGGAATTATTTTGTTTCTAACAATTTAGGGATGTGAAAAAATTATGATGTATTTGTAAACAATTTCTGTGTTATACAGTTAATTAACTCTGTTGTATAGCCTACTACACAGACTTTAAAATCACAGAATACATACATTTATAGTAAACGTTTTGATTAGTTTTGTGTTTGAGAACAATAAAATATTTTTAATATGTAACAAAAGTTTTCAAGTTAATTTGATGATCTTTAGGTCATTATCTGAAGTGAATCAATTTAATGGAAAGATAAATGTTGATGTATAACAAGCAGTTTTGGCCACTGGGAAAATATTATCACAACTCTATGATGCTTGGAGAGATCAGCTGATGTGCATGATAACATCAAAAGGGATGAAAAGGATGGAAACAACTTCATAAAATGATAGAGTTTTACATTTTAATTGAATGCTCCTGACTGTTTCTACAGTAGGAAAACTTCAAACAATCATAACATTTGTATGGAAAAGAATTTGATTGGTTAAGCCAATTTAATTTAAGACTGTTTTTATAGACTATGTTTAAAAGAGTAAACACACGTGAATGGCTCGAAAGTAAATGTACAAAGTGTAGCAGTTTCTCATAAAAAGCAAAATGAAAATAATTTGACAAATAAAATTTTTGACATTTCTTTTTTTAACCAAAAACAATGAAGAAAAGAAAACATAGTATTTCCTCTTTCATTGATGTATTTTTATTAAAGTATTGAAATTGAAATATATTCATCAATGAATAAGCATTTGAGAATGATTACTTTTCACAGTTGAGTTTTATTTTCAGTTAAAAAAATTCTGTTTAGATTTGTCTGTGAAGTGTGAAATTCCAGTAAGTATTTTAGAAAGTTGAATTTTTTCTATCAATTTCAGTGATAGTTATTTGTAAATTGAAATATACTTAATTTTTTCATGAGAATTGGCAATCAAATAAGTCTGATTACATGTGTACTGTACAAAATATGTATGAAAATGATTAGTTGGTTGTTTGGTTTGATGTGCATAAGAGAAGCTCGTAGGTGTAATGCAAAGTACTGAGTATTTTTTCAAGAACTTTTATTAAGAATTATTATTATTTTTTTATCTGTATAATGTATTTTTAAAAGTTTAAGATATTTTATGATAGTTATCATCATTACAGCATATAGAATTATATGGTAGTTTGTTTAGAAAAAAATTACTTTTATCACATAATAAATGTATTTTAATATAAAAGTTATATCTTAGTAACCAACACACAAATTAAATTTGTGTCGTTCAGGAACCATCCTTGTTTTTTGAAGATGGATTGCATCGAATTGACTTTGTGTTGCTATATACTTCCCCATCAGGCATCCAGAAAAGTACTCTTCATAAGCAAATGAGGGAAGTGTTTGAAGAAAACTTGAAAGATGAAGGTTTAGAACTGGAATATGATACTGAGGTAGAGACAAATACATCATTTTAAAAATATAAAATATTTCTGTAAAAAGTCAGTTATTCAAAAGAGAAAAACATTTCCAATTTTTTAAATGTTCTCTTAATTATGAAAAACATGACCAATTGTTTATTTTAACCCATTTTCATGGATTGGGCCAGTATCATGGAATAATCTTCATTAATAAAGATACTAAATATGCTATTAGTTCAAAGCTAAACATTTATTGTCAGTTGTTCTGATATATATACATTTTTCCAGTGTTACTTGCACATGTGATTTATACTTATTGTTGTATTGAAATTACATTACTTTACCTGCCTACATACATGATAGTAGTTTTAAACTTCATGTTAAAACTGCTTGCTTTCTTTTTTCTGAATGATCCTAATTAAAAAAGAAAAGAAATAAACAAATTTCACTTACAGTCACTATACAAATTATAAAGGAATAATTCATTCATAATTTCAGCCTAACAGATGTTGGAAATTATTTTAGTGTTATATTGTTATGGTAATTTAAAATCTATACTGGAGGTGGTCTTAATGTAATGTTTTATGATCGGTTTATCTTCTGTATCAATATTAATGCTTAAAACAACACGTATTGCATAAGTCACGGTCCCATGACAGAAGAACACACACTCTTTAAACCTCAGTTACAAATGCTACTAGTCAAACAGTTGAAGTTTTGTAAAAACAGGACAGAAATAATTGCAGTAATCTTACAATGATATTACATATTAATGTTTACAAAAATGTATAAATTGCTGACTTTACAGTTTATTATATGTTTGTTCAATCCCCTTAAAAGAATTGATTGTCCAAATTGGAGTAATTAATTCCTTAATGTTTAAAAAATAAAAGAGAATACACAAACATTTCAAGTGACTTATGTTTTCAGTCTCACTTTTCTGTTGTTTATAGAAGTAGTAAAATACATTTCGTGCATTTTTGGTTTTTCATGTAACAGTTGCATCAAAATAGTTATGAATCCTTATTAATGTTTATTCAAACTTTATTACTAACCATTGTGGTATTATTTTGTTGCCTGTATTCAGCTGTACATACTATCTTATAGGCTCAAAGTTACTTATTCATTTTGTAAGGGATGTCATTAGGCTAGATGCAGACTGAATTGAAAATTTTAGAAATCTGAAATAAATCACTTTGTCTAAATAAAGAGTTGCCTTTTTAAAGTACAAATTAGTTAACCCTTTCTCTGTGGCTGGGGTGTATATTTCCCAGTGCACTGAGAAATCTACATCTCAGCTACAGTGAATGGGTTCATATAAATAACAAGAAATATTGAGTGATTTCTCTTCAGAAGAAAGGTAGGCAATTTTGTTTTTGTTCGTAGTATATTTCTGCAAGCCAAATAATTTAATCACTATTTAGTTTCAAAAACAATGCTGAATTTCTTTTATGTAAACATAAGTATGTTGGGGAAAAAATACAACATATGATCTTGAAAACTGGCTTTTATTTCATCATCGTGCACTTGATATATTTTTTTTTTTGACAAATATTTGTTAAGAGTGCAATTAATAAAATTTTATGTTAATTTATTATTGGGACAGCAGTATGTCTTCGGATTTACAATGCTATAATCAAGGGTTCGATTCCTCTCAGTACACATAGCATATAGCCCCATGCTATAAGAAAATACACACAATTTATTATTATAAATTAATATCTGTAATCTCTTAAGCTGATATTATGTACAGTTGCTATGGTGGTAGCTTTATTTCTTATAAGACCAAAGTGTGAACCCTTTACAACATGTGCATCAGTGTATTGAAAGTGTATCAGTGTATTCCATGTGTACACTAAGCCCTTCTATTGAATATTTGTAGTCTTTAATGAGATATTATATATTAAAATATATACATATTGAAATGTTTGAGACAAGTGTGCAAACTTGCAAATGATTTAGTTTGTCCTTGGTGGTAATATGTCATAGCTTCTGGGCTGGAATATCCACACTACTACATTAGTCCTCATTAAATCATCTTAAAGTCCATTTTTTGTTAAGTATAGCTTTTTAGTGTTTTGGCTTTTCCACCTTTCTCATTCTGATATTTCCAACTGTGAACAATGTAATATTGTATTTGAATGTTAAATTTTCGAATTAATATAGAATACAGATAGATATATGCCTCTGGCTGGACTTTCCATTTCTGATTTTTGTGGAGATGAAATATATTATTATTAGGTAATTTTAATTATCTATTTCAAGTTGTGATTTATGGTTGGGAAAGAAGATCATTCAGGTACGAGCAACCTCATAAAGAAATACCTAGGGATGCTTTTTGGTTGGAAAAGGTAGTCTTTCAAGTAAGAGAGAAATCTTATTAAACAAAGAAATTATTTGATCTACGCTGTATATGGTGCTTTCTAGTTGAAAAAGGACATATTTCAAGTAAGACAGAACAATTTTCTACATAAGGAGTATGAATGATGCATAATGTAGTTGCTGATTACATTCTCAAAATTATTGGATAAAAGTTCTTTTGGAGGTAGTTTAATGTGTTCAACTTATTATGAATTGATTTAATTTCACTGTCGAAAAATCTTCTGTGATGCTGTTTGTGAGCTTTTAAACCATAGTTGCTTGTCTAAAATTAAAAAATTGGGATAAAGTTTAAATTTTCTACTTCTCAAGAGCACAAGATGAGAATGTCTTCAGAATCAAATAATTGTTACTCATTCACAAGTTAAAACTGTCTATCAACAGCAATTTGTTTGCAGTACCATTCTTACCTTAACTGTCATTTTAATTCTGTAGGAAGCAGATCAGTAGTGTGCCTTGAAATATAAAATTAAAGCTTCCTTGGAGTTAATGTAATAAAATACAAATGTATGTACATTTTTGTAGAAACTTTTTTCTGCATTAACAAAACTGAAAGTTAGAAAATTTAGAAGCTACATTAACCTTTGTTACCTTTGAATAGTCTGTCACTGATGTCAACTGTGTGAAAGTCCATGCTCCTTGGGAAGTTCTTACCAGATATGCTGAAATAATGAAGTTAAAAATGCCAATGAAAGAGGTAGGATATATACTGGGTTGTTAGACAGTCATTGGTAACTTTTTTTATTTCTCTCTCTCTCTCTTGTGTTTGCAGCTGGTATTACTAGAAGAAATAGTAATAAGTAGCTGTAAAATTTAATTTGAAGTGTAAATGTTTAATTCACAAAAAAGTTTAAATTTTAAATTTATTTGTTATCCTTCATATATTTTTTTGTTATGAGTATAATCAGAAAATTATTTGTTTTAAATTTTCATGCACAAAACTGTACATAAAAGAAATGTGTATGAAGTCAATAAAATACTGAGTAATCAGCATCTTAATACAGATAACATTTGGAAAATATCATATGTTGTGAAGATCCTGCAAGTTATTGTTTAACTGTATAATATTTCATTACAATCTTTGCATATCCATTTGAAGATTTGTTGTTTCTTTTATTGTAATTTTCTGTGCCCTGAAGCAAGTGTAAGTATTTATTACTAAAGTTTTTTTTTTATTCTGGTGAAATTTGAGGACAATTTCAACTTTGACAGTCCCATAATATTTACTGGTTACATGTAGTTTTTTAGGTTCATTTAATGTGTTATTAAATACTTCAATCTGTAACTTTGTGAAACTGTTTTAATTAATTTTTAATAGATATGAGAATTTTTTATGTAAGGATATTTGATGATTGGTTAGGCATAATGAACTGATGGTTGGTTATTTATTGCTAGCAATATAACTATTAATTAAACTGTTCTGTGTAATTGATAATTTTGCTGAATATTATTGAATGCTCTCTTAATTAGTCTGGCTCTTGCTGCTCTTGGATTCAGCATTTGCTGTCATGATAGTTCAACCTAGATTCCTTTAATTATGATTCTGTATTGACACACATGCTCATTAGGTAGACACAGGCATTCAGGAGTATGGCAGCAAAATGTGTCCACAATGTCAAGCATGATTAATGGGAGTGAGAGAACAAGTGAATTTCCACTGAGGTTGGCAATCTGCAATGTGTAGTTTTGTTTCTGCTGTTGGAAATACTTTTGGATTGAATATGTTATAAGGGTTACATTTTTAGTTGTTTGTTATAATTGATTGATTAATATTAACTATGCACAAAGTTACATGAGTTACAAAGTTACATAGAAAAAAAATTATATCTTTACTAAACCATTTTTAACAAATTTATATTTATCATTATTGGTAATATTTTATTATTTTTAACTACTTTTAGAAAAAATTAGTTTTTTAGCAGAAAATAGTTGATCCAATATCATGTAGAATTTACTAAATTATTCAGAGTAGTAGAGCAAGCTATATAGAATAATGTGAAGAACAGTGAGATAGTGCATTCATTTTTCTCAGAAAGGATATATATTGCACTGAAATTATTTTATTAACCTTTTTCAAATCTGTGAAATTGGAGATTGATTATTATTTTTATTGACATATGCTTTGTTGTTGCTGGCTAACAGTTTAAATGCTTTAACTTCACTTATTTTTTAGTGACAACAGAAACATTAGTTCATAAGAACGCAATAACACAACTGTATGAGTATTATCCTCCCCATGAAAACAACAACAACAACACTGTGTTTTAAATAATCAACTAGAAAAACTTTTGTCTAACATACCATGTTATTACTCTTTCATGTGCATAAGGGTGCTTGCGTTAATTAAAAAAAGGATAAAAGATTATAAAGAGCTCTCATGTCATAAAGTGAAGGCTTTGGTTATAATCAGCATTAGTAAGGTTAAGGGTCTCAAGCCAATAGGCTAGTTGATGTACAGAAAACCTGTGGAAGGATAAATAGTGTAATAATGTTAAATTAAATGATTGGTAAGTTATTTTATATACCCTCCAAAAAAAAAAATCACTTTATTGCTGTGAATCATTGAAAAACAAATTGACAAACATTTATGGGTTTTATGGCATCTGTGAAACTGTAAATTAAGTTATGCTAGGTTAGCTACTATGAATTATAGAATGCAACAGTTGTTTAGGGGAGTATGAGGATACACAGTTGGATTGTACTTTAGTGTCCCACCTGTAATCTCTCATTGTACTTTTGTATTTAGTAAATAAGATATGAAATTCAATTATTAAGAGCATACACGACTATATGAGTGTCTTCTATATTTAATTAGTTATAAGTTGAAATAGCTTCACTTATGGTTAGCACACTGGCCAGTAGTCATCCAATTATTTGACCACTATCAAGTTTTGTCAAATATTTCTGTAAATTCCCTTAAGAAATATTTAACTAAATATATTAAAATACCTGACCAGTTGTCAGAAATAATACTTTTCTAGAGTTGTTTATGTCAAATCGGTAAGGCACTAGCTTATGTGGATATTTTATTGCCATAGAGTAGCCCTAAGGTGTTAGCTCCATGATACCAGAATACTCTTTTTGGATTCTCTAATGTGCATAATCATAGCTCAGTTAATGTCATGATTATAAAAAGTAATAAAATTACAAAAATTGCTTGTGTCTAGCATATTGCTTTCGATTTTTATTGTGTAAAGCAAAAGTAAATACTTTTAGAATCATGATGCAGTGTAAACTATAAATTAAAGAAACTCTATGACTCTTCTCATTTTGAAATATTTATATTTGGCAAACGTTTGATTCCTTTTTTTGCTGAAGCTTTCATTGGACAACTTGTTGTTGTTACAATTCAATGCTGAAAAGGTAGTTATGTGACTCATCTCTGAAGATGTTTGTATGATCGATAATTTCCCTTATCTACATTTTAATTTGTGTGGTATTCATAGCTGTGTGTGTGCTACCTTTTCAATGGAGTGCCACTATTCCTACTGCTACAGCAAGACAAATACAGCAATGCTACTGTTGTCACTACATATTTATAAATATAGCAGTGCTAATGCTACCGCTACTTTTGAAACTGACATTTTTTTATGATAATTTTTTTGTCATAGGATAATGTAAGAATGAAAAATGCAAATCTATTGGTAAATGGTAATACTTTATTCCTACAATCACATAATACAGACTTCTTAGAACAACCATTCCATATTTGTGAATGATGATAGGAAAGCAGCTAACAACTATACAGCCTTTGATACATTCAATGATAGTACTTGAAGAACACAACGTCAAAAAATAAATTAGTACAATGACAGTAATAATAACAAATGAGATAATAAGCTAATATGAAGTAATAAATCTGTTATATTAGAAGATATTATGTCCCTTATTATTTATTAAATTTTATTATTATTTTAATATGTTATTTAATTTCAATAGCATCAGCTTCTCGAAATTGTTATCCATCAATCCAGCTCTTTTTTTTTGGCTTCAAAATGTCTTTGTTGTGAAAATGCATCATACAGCTGCACTTGATGGAATGAGTATATTGAAGTAAATAAAGAGAGATTTGAAAGCTGGTGAAGAAAACAATCTTGATTCTATATCTTTTGAAGTAGTCGGTTCTTTGCTCAGGATCAGTGTTATTTGATCATTGCTACTTTGGGATGAATTACTTTCAGATTTTTCTTGTTGTTTAAAGTGCATGAAGAAGTCTTCTTTCTCAATTTCCTCGGTGCTCAAAGATGATGAAAAATCACTTTTGCAAAAATCATTTGCAAAGTGCAGCATCTGAAAGGACCGGGCAGACAGATGCAAGAGTATTATATATATAGATTTAGATTAATATGTATATATATATTAATTGATATAAAATATACTATAAAAATACTGTAACTAACCAGAATTCCTTGACAAAGTTGGACCCATTGTCAGTAGTGGTCTTTGTAATTTTGTTTTGAATGCAATATTTGGTGTGAATTCTTCCAGTTCCTTTGCAATCAAGTCATAGGCATGGTGGCCAATGAGACAGTGGGAAGATGAAATCAATTACAAGTGCATTTATTTTACATTGGCTAACCCTCCCAGCATTAGCAGCAATGAAGGCTCAAAGAGGTTATTTGAAGGTTGTTCTGCTTCATTTTTCCAAGTTTTTCTCTTACTAGAAGTATAAGTCCCTGTCTGTGCTGCTTTAACTGACCATTTGCTTGATCTGTTTACCTTCATTCATCTCTTCATGCATGATTCAAAATCCCTGAGTTTATAGGAATGTTTGTAACTAATGTATTTCTTTATAAAGTGATTTCTTATTGGCACTGTAAATATTATTTTTGAGCAAACACAACTTACACTGCAAGAAAACACTGTGAGATTGGGATCTACTTGCACTTTCACTTCCAACAAATACAAAATAGTCTTTTATGTAAGGCCAAGGATGGCTGCTTTCATGATTAGACTCACTGTTAGAACATCATCTTTCTTACCGGATTCCTTTTTATGACACTGGCTAAAGTAGAAGGTGATGCATCCTTGCCCATAATACATTTGTCTTTTTTTCCTGTACCAGGGATATAAGATTAAATACTGTTTTTTTTTTCTCTTTCCCTTACAGTTGACATTGTGTTGCTCATTCATTGATAGCATATGCTGAATTAGTTTTCTTTGAGAAGGTATTTATAAGAAAAACATGTCCAAAATGATTAATTTCCTATTCAAAATTATAATGGTATATCCTTTTACCGACTAAGATTTTGATTATTCCTGTTTTCACTAATTATGGGTGGTTAGATTTGAAGTTTAGATATTTATCCTTTTAGTGTCTGAGTTACCTTCACGTAACAAAACAAGGACTTTAGTTGTTGGAATGTACTTTTCGATTGTAATTAAACTTCTTTAAACTGGGTTATATGAATTTAATATATATTACTAGAGATAATTATGGAAACACAGAAGTGATACACATACAGCATTCAGGGTGCTGCTAATTTCGTGTAGATCAGCAGCACTGTTGGTTGAGATGTAGGCCTAAACTTTTGTTGATTCCTACCATGATTTACTGTAATTATTGACTTGGATAGTGTTCTCTATCAAACAGATTGTTGTTGATTATTTTCAAATGCTTCAACTTGGATTAATTTGTAAAGAGACTTGTTTCCAGCTTTGCTCATTCTATTCTTTATGGTCCAATACCCATTTCAATCTTTTTGTTTGCTTACCTCTTCTCAACAGCAATTTCAAGCAATGACATGTTTAATGTGAACATTCATACTAATGTTTATCTTGCTATTCTAAAGTAGCATTCATACCTGTATTTATAACAGTTTCCATACTATAACTAATAATGTGATATTTGCATCTTCACAAAATTTGGCAAGCTTTAGGTAAACATTACAACTCTTTTGTACACAAAAAATCAGATTTTTGAATTTATTATTTTTACTAAAGATTCGTTCATGAATATATGGAATCATAGTGTTGACTGCTCCAAAAGCAAGGTGATTTTCATGTTAAGTTTAAAAATACTTTTATTCATCTGAAATTTCTCAAATTGCATTTGTGTAAATTGTAAAACCTCATACCTTTTCCAGAAGTAGTGCTATACACCACAAGTATGCCTTAATTTCTTATGATACACCTACTCTTTCAAGGCAGTTGTTCTCTGCTTGCTTCACCGGCCCCTCCAACTTTGCAATGTGGGATTCTTGCTTTGGGTAGTACCATTTCAGAAGTTAACATTTTCTTTCACTGAAAATCTATTTATTCATTTAAGGATCACAATTGCTGTTGGTTTAATTGATCCTTGCCAGCATCTGTAATATTTGGCTTATTTAAATATTTTTCTTAAGGTCTGTTAAATTTGTTTATAATAAATTAACTTGTACAACATATTAATTTATTATAAAATAAAAAGCTGTTGGTGAAGATTCAACTTTGTTGTGTTTTTTTCCCAGGTTTTAGTGACTTTATGAGATGTATATTTGTGACTGACATTTCTTGTTTGAGTTTTTTTACTTCTATGGCTTCTTTTTTCAAAATGTCTGTTCTAACTTTTGCTTGTGATGCCAATATCTGATAGTAGTGATGCCTGTTTATAATGTGTTTGTTCATATGTACTGGATCAACTTTTAAAGTTTGCTTTCAATGACGTAGTCCTACTTTTTGAACTTTTTCATTGAAATTTTATTGGGTTTTTAAAACCTTTTAGAGTAATATTTTGCAGCTTTTGGAATTTGTGGTTGCTATTCAGTAGTATGTAGTCTTCTGTATTTTTAATTGCAATCTACTGTGAAGATAACTTATCATTATTACTTTAGTCAGTAGAAAGGCATTATGTAAGCTTTCATTCTTTCCTCAATTTTCTGGACTCTTTTAATAATATGTGAACCAAAACTTATAGGTAACATTTATCTGAAATATTTCCTATCATCTATGACACTGTAGTTTTTGTAACTTTAATAAATTTAATGCAAAAGATTTAAGCAAAGATTATCAACCTGGAAATGCATAGGCAGTTTAATCATACATTATGGACTTTGAATAGAGGATGTGCAGGATGTCCAATAAATCATATTTCAAAAATAAATTAAGGTTAATATGGTAACTAGTCTTACATAAATAAACAATAAATGTGCATGATGAAATAACAGTTTCATCACATCACCAAATATCTGATTAGATATGATGTTAACAGAAAAATGATAAGGGTGCTTGACAATAATACTGTCATACTTTTAAAAAATATGAATTAAGGTTTTATCAGGTGATATGTAAAAGTTGAGGTGTTCTTGTAAGTGTGTTATTGCAAATTAGTGGAAATTTATATTATTCCTTATTATAAAATTAAAAATCACTTGTTGAAATTGATTGTGAAATAAAGTTAGAAAAAATATTTTTGACATTTTAGAATTAAATTAATATCTCAATTTTTAGACATATTTTCTGTGGTATGTTTTATGGAAATTTCAATATTTCTTTTTATATCAGTTCCTAATGGACAACATGGTGACTGGTGTGGTGCACAATTTCTTGGATTTTGAACCTGTAAGCATGTTTAGAGTACTATTAATTTTGTGTAATTTGCTATTGATACTACCACATGTGTCACTTCTAATGATGTGAACATGCATAAGATTTAAAGTTTGTGACAGAATAACATTAATTATTAGTTTAACATTTTCCTTAGTAAACATTTTATGGTTTAAATTCGTTTTTTTTTTTAAAGCCATAGTACAATTTACTGTGCATTAATACTTAAATAATTTAATGACTGCAACTAGTCATCCTTTATGTAATATAATGACTGATTATAAATACTGTCTTGTGACTAACATACTGACAACACTAATCCCTGCAATATAAAATTCAGCGTGATGGTAATTACTTTTCTGAAAACTACAGTCTCTTATGACCAAAAAATGGTCTTTCAGCTACCACTTTTTATATTTTACACTGTAGCAATGAGTAATTACACATATTACCCCTTTTATAAAAACAGTTGTTCATACTAGTCTGTCACTGCCTTAATATATATACTGGACAAAATGAATAAATGAAGATCTGGCAAATTATAAGTATACATTATGGAAAGTAGCTAAATTATAAATTACAAATTATGAGTGAAAGTGAAGTTTATTGTCTTGTATCAAATTATGAATATAGAAATGCATTTCAGTAACCCTTGGCATGGCATGCCTTGTAATGTGGAATTGTTTGTATTAATATCAAGGCTTAAAGATATCAAAACTAGAGTTTTCTTAATGTTTATGCCTCCCCTTAACATTGAATATGCCCATCACTAGTGGCCAACATGGCTTTATAAATTTGTTGCATACCATGTATTAATGACTGGGACATTCAGTGTTGTATGCCCTTTATGTTCTGTTTGGAAATCCATGATGACTGTAATTGTGTGTGGAGACATAATGTTTAGAGTGTTATGCTTAGTGCAGTGTTGTTGAATGTGAGTTGTTCACTGTGGTGCTTTCAGTGATGTGAGGAAGCATTTGCTCTGGTGTTTAGGGATAAGATTTTGGCATTGTGAGGCCTTATTCAGGTGCCAGTGAACCTGATTCCATTCTGATGTTCAACAGTTCTTGTATCAACCATATGCATATTGTTTCTGTCTATCTTAAAGTGGAAACTATTGACAGAATTTATCTTAGACAAACTTTGAGGACAAATGTAGACATGCTGAATCTGTTGGGAAGTGCCTTGTCAAGAATATAGAGAAACAATCCAAGATTCCATCCATAGATTGATCCAGGGATGCACAGTGCTGTAGAACTTTGTTGACCGCTTGAGTTAAATATACTCAACATTAAAGTACATATTTAAATATCCTAAAATCAATTTTGTGTACATCTTTAAGCCATAACATTGCTACAGAAAATCATTTATAAAGCAGCTACATGTTCCTAGCTACATATTTTATGATTTTTCCTTAGGAAAATTAATTTAACATTCATTAATAGTTTGCAGTTATGATTTAGCAACTTGAAAAATGTACACCACTAATTTGTTGAAGTTTTGTACCAAAGTGAGAAAACTTTTATCTCTATCAATCATGCTATATTTTCATAATTTAGTAAAAACTCATTTTATTTTACTTATTTTTTATAATTTCAGATAGACATAGGCTGCTGCAGTGGTTGAAATAATTATAAGTGCATTTTAAATTTTTTTTTTCATTGTATCTTTTGACAAAATTGGTATAAGAACTTACTTAGAAGATTGAGCTGGAATTTTTCCCCCTAAGGTTGTATTGGACATGTGTATAAAATGTACTTAAAAAAAAATTTTTTTTTTAAGAAAGTTAATTATTCTTATATAATTTTAGTGTTAGAAGTTTTATTTAAAGTTTACCTCCTCATGTGAGCCCAGATTGGCCCTGTTGTAGAGCTCTGTATTTCAGAGCTAGTAAGATAGGTTTAAATTATGGGATACCACAAAATATTCCCCACTTTTTAAACAGTGGGTGCATTGTAAGAGCAACAATCAATCCCTTAGTGTGAGTGGTAGGGTACTGCCTTTCCTCTGGTTAGTAATTCAAAATTAGGGTTGGCAGAAGGTAGCCTTAGTAACTTTATTGTAAATACAATACGATTACAGTACCTCCTCACTTTTAGATTAAGTGAAGACCAAATTTACTGAAGCCTTTTGTTCTAAGAATAAATTGAATGAATCTAGTAAAAAACTAAGATTACACATTATGATATTAAAAATATGTATGAAGTGAGAATTCTTTTGAGCAGTGATTAAAGATGGTTGAATTGGAAATCTTTAAATAGCCTGCTAAAAATCATGTGCTGGTAATCTGTAAAGGTTTCCTAAGAAACATATGCTGGATATTGTATACTACATATATGTTGGTTCATCTCACTTTGTAAGTTTGTGGTC